TCTCTACTCTTGTACAAGCTTTTAGTGGCCAACACACTGCTCAGGTGCCTGTTTCCTCTCATGTCTTTCAGTGACCTGTGATTTTGTGTCAGAGCTTGAAGCATCCTGGTACATGTCAGGTAAGTGGAAGAATAAGCCCAAGGGCTGGGATCTGTATGGTCCTGTGCATTCTGCTTCTTAATCCTCTGATACCCCGAGAAAATTTCCACATTAGAAGCACAGCCTCCAGGCTCTGGCCTAATTGTGGCAATATTCTACCCCTCAGGCCTTTGGGTTCAGAATGGCAATTCCATGAACACCCTGTCCTGGACAATTCCAAGGGAATTGGACGGGAGCCACTGATCAGGGATGGGGGGGGATGCAGGGAAATGCCCATAGGTGGAGTCAGGAGGCTCAGAGTTTCTCTGTTTCATGCCACAGCTATAGAAGAACTTACACTTCACTTTTCCTTCTGGCCTAGTTTTATCCTAGCACCTCCCATCCTCAATAGAATGAGCAGGGGAAGACCTTCAAGGTCCCATTGTCACAGAAGGCTTGAGAGCCACACCCTTGCTGCAAGGGCTTTCATGAGGAGCCAGCTGGCATAACCTTCACATAATGCTACACCCTGGCTACTTCTTGGGCACATTGGGCAGAAGGACATTTTGAACATTCCATCGCTCCTCAGTGCCACCAAGACATTCCCTACCCATGTGACTTGTGAATCCATGGATTAACCTCCCAGGTGAAAGGCCACAGGAGCCAAAATGGGATTGTGTATCAGGGCAGGCGTTCTCTTCCTGGGCTCATGGCCATGAGGCTTGATTGTTTTCAGACTCTCTCAACAGTATATTTTTGTAATGAATTTCTGCTTCATGGATAATCTATAAAGTTGTAAGAACACATTTTGCTGACCACTGTGATGTGGCGCCCCACCCAGGTTGTAGAGCAGGCAAGTGATACGGGCTGGGAAAGCAGCAAATGACACCCTTGGGAGAATGGACTTTTATGTAGCGAATTGTCTGTGAGTCTAGGTATTATAAAGATAGGGCTCTACCATGGAGAATTGAGGACAGGTCTCTGCCTAGATGGGGCCAATGCAGGAATCACAAGAAACAAAGGTTGAACAATCCCTGCACAGTGTCTTGACAATTGTCAAGAGGTTCATGGTAACAGTCAGCACATGAGGAGAAAGGTGCCTTTACTGAAACACTGAAATTCATGGGCAGGAACGAAAGGAATCGATCTCTTACTCTTTGGCAGGGCTCTTCATGTACTTGACTTTGCAAGGGACAGAGATTTACTGATACTTGGCATGCCTTCAGACCATGGTCATTTTCCACAGTGTCATCAAGGACTCATCTCAAGAGTGACCTGACATCCTCCCTCTCTTTCTCCACAGAATGTACCGTTTAGGAGGAGATTTCATTCTGCTGAATCCCTTGAAGCAGATTTGACCAGAAAGGGCTGTGCCTTCAGTTTCAACTGCTCATGGACAAGGCCCTCATCAGTGCAGTCTGCCCTGGTAGGCAATGTTGCTTGTGTCCCAAACGCATATGTAGCTGTGCTCCCTGGAGACCTGGGTCTATGATGACAAACCTATGTCATGAAGAGAGATGGTGACATACAAACCATCCTCAATAGAATGTGCTGAGGCCCAGACTGCAGGGCAGGGGAGAAAGAGGCACCTTATCTGCTTGTGCTTCCGTGAGGCCCAGTACAGAGGTCCAGCTCTCCCTCAGCCCTGATTCCCCACCTGGGGAATACAATGATGTCCAGTGGCACATACCTAGGAGAGACCTGAGGCCCCCCTTCATAGCACGTTTAGTGACTCTCTACTCTTAGACAAGGCTTTAGTTGCCAAAACACTGTCTTCACACTGGGGTCACATCCCAGAAA